TCTTCGTTGCATTGATTTCTGCTCTGATCTTTATAGTTTCCTCTCTTGTATGAGTTTTGGATTTGTCCTGGTCTTTTTCTAGAAGCTTAAGGTTTGTCACTAGGTTATTTGAGCTCGCTCTGTTTTCTAATATGACTATTCACTGCCATGAATTTCCCTCATAGCACTGCTTTCATTGTGTCCCATAGATTCTGATATGTTGTATTGACATTGTCATTTAATTGTAAGAATGATCTGATTTTTTTCTTTAATTTCCTCTGTGACCCATTTGTTATTCAGACGCATGTTCAATTTTCATGAAAATCTTGCAGTTTCTTTTGCTCTTGCTCTCCAATTTCATCTCACTATGGTCTGATAAAATAAGGGGGATAACTTCAGTTCCCTTGCTCTTACTTAAATATGTTCCATGAGTGAGTATGTGGTCTATTTGGATAATGACTGATGTGCACCTGAAAAGAATGTTTATTCTGATTTTATGGCATGGAACACTCTGTGAATATCTATGGAACGTAACTTCTAGTGTTTTGTTGTTTATTTTTTGTTAGTTGATCCATCTATTTTTGACATTGAGTATTGAGGTCCCCCAATATTATTGTGTTAGTGATTATTTCATGTTTCATGTCTGTTAATATTTGTTTTCTATAGTTGGATACACTAGAGTTTGTTGCATATATGTTTATGATTGTCATCTCTTCCTCTTGGATTGTTTCCTTTACAACAAGATAGTATCCTTTTTTCTCCATCTTAATCATTGTTGATTTGAAATGCACTTGATCTGCAAAGAGGATAGTTACTCCTGTTTTTTGGGTGGGTGGGGGTTTCTGTCACATGGAGTATTGTTTTCCAACCTTTAACTTTCAGTCTCTGAGTTTCTTTTTGAATTAAGTGTGTTTCTTGTATACAGCTTATTGTTGGATCTTGCTTCTTGACCCATTCTGCCAGTGTATTTCTTTTGATTGGGTAATTGAGACCATTAACATTGATGGTTATAACTATTATTGATTTACCCTTCTCATGACTTTTACTTTTTGTGGGAGTTTCCCTTTTGTGTTTACTTTCTTGTCATGCCTGATGGATTCATTCTGCTGGTGTTCCTGGCATTATGATCCTCATTGTCTTTTCCTGGGATATTCTTTAAACTTTTTTGGAGTTCTTCAGGTGCTCTTTGTCACAAAAGTATATTATTTCTCCATCAGTTTTGGAAGATAGTTTTGCAGAATACATCGGTCCAGGTTGGGGGTTGTTTTTCTTTAGGGTTTAAAATATGTCACTCTTAGCTATTCTTGTCTTGACAGTTTGTGTTGAGAAGTCTGCTGTGATACTGATGGGCTTTTCTTTGTATGTGATTTGTTTCTTTTCTCTAACTGCTTGCAGAATTTTTGTTGGGTTTCTGGAATCTTAACTATTATATACCTTTTTGTAGAATTTTTTTTATCATGGCTAGTTGGGGTCCTATTTGCCTCACTTATCTCTGAAAATATAGCAGTGAAAAATTACTTGCTTTTTCTTGATTGGAAAATTACTTTCTTTAATCTTCATTTTTGCAGAGTATTTTTTTAGGTTTAAAATCTGAGGAACACAGTTTTCTTTTCTTTCTTTTCTTTCTCTTTTTGTACCAGGGATCGAACTCAGAACCTTGCATTTGCAAGGCAGGCACAGTGCCACTGAGCTAAATCCCTGGCCCAGTTTTTTTTTTTTTTTTTTAGTGTCATCTGCACTCTGTCTTGTTTCTTCATTGATTCCAATCAGTCTTATGTTATTCTTCTTTGCATTATCTAGTAGCTAATGGATTGCTTTCTCATGGTCCCTTGCTATTTTAAAGAAATTTTTCTTTTCCTGGTTACTGGTTGCAATCCTATCTTCTATATCTGAAATTCTGTCCTCACATTGGTTTATTATGCTGCATAAACTTTCAATAGAATTTTTAATCTCTTGGAAATCTATTTGCATCTGTCTTTTGGATTCCATTTGCTTCCTATTTTGGGATTTGGTCATGTTCCTCAGGTCCTCTATTTTTTTTAAAATCTGTGTCTGCTCTAGATTTATTAATCATGTCTTGCACTATGGGCACAATCTCTGTTGTTATCTGAGAAATTATTTCTGATTTCATTTTTTTCAGGTCTTCTTTCATTGCTAGTTTAGGGAGTCCAGGTAGTTGAGTATCAGATTGTTCTACCTTGTTGCCCTTTGGGGTTGCCTTAGGTGATCTGGATGTCTGATTTTGAGACTTGTTTATGTTGCTTCTCATTTCAATAGATGCAACTTGCTGTGCCTTTGTTGAGCCTCCTTTTTGCTCACCCAGTGTTCTTCAATTGTCAGCAAGATAATGAGCAGCCTTTTCTCCATTGCTCACCAGTACACCAATTCCAGGGTTCAGAATGGTGGCCCTCTGCATCCCTGAGCTGAACTGTTGTCTGGATGGGCTTCAGGCTGGGGCCTGTGCACACTTGGGCTGGTATATAGGCATTCCTCTGCGTAGGGACTACCTCTTATGTAGCTGTTTTCTGGGAGGGCCTTTGGCTGGGGGCCATGCACCCCAGTACCTGGTGTTTCAGCAGGCTTCTGGCTATGATCTCTGTGCACTTACCAATAGTATCAAGGTGAGCCTCTGGCTGTTGCTTTTGCACCTGTGTAGCTCTTCTCTGGGTGGGCCTTTGGCTTAGGCCTGTGTGCTTAATCCTCTGGGGCTTTGGGCAGGGACTTGGCTGGATCCGCCTGCAGCCTTGCTGCTCTGGTCCACACTTCTGCTCACCATATCTGTGCACACTTACTGATGGTATCAGGGTGGGCTTCTGGCTGATGCTTGTTCACCTGTTCACTTCTTTTCTGGGTGGGTCTTTGACTTTGGCCTGTGTGTCTAAGCATCTGGGGTCCAGCCCCTGCTATCTTTAGCTTTTATAGTAACCATTCTTATTGGAGGCAAGATTTATCTCACTGTAGTTTTAATTTACATCTAACAGGTTAGCATTTTTAATAATTTTGAAACACAGATTAATTACACATCTAAGTCTGTGGAATGAACAAAGTATAAATTAATAACTAGCCTTTGTGTGTTATAGCACTGTGGAACAAATGAAGTATACATTTCTTTTAAGTCTCAAGTCTTAATAATACATGATACTTTAAAATGCAAGTGGGTATATCTGTTATTTTTGTAGATGAATCTGTAACTAGGAGAATTACATGTAGGATATCAATGAGTTTGTGGACATGCGGAGAAAAGAGATGTGTGGCTTTAGACATTCTAATATTTTACATACTGTATGTGCTGAGATTTGAATGAAACCCATGCCTAATGCATATCTTGGAGAGGATGAGTCTCCTAAATCAAGACAGAGCCTGCCAGCCAAGTGCTGGCATGTTACACAGATCAACACAGTGCCACAGTCTCAAGGGTACACTCTGGGAAGGAAGATCAGTATCAAATGTTTATGTCATCTGTAAAGCTAAATGAAGCAAAAGTATTGACATTCTGTTATAAAAGAAAAAGCATGAAGATTTTGTTCTGACTTCTTGTTTGGAATGTGAGTGGAATTTTCTAAGAGACTGACTCCTTTCAGTATTACTCATCTGTATGGTTTGTCCCTCTCTTCAATGAAAACTCCAGAAAAATAATTCTATATAACAGTTTTAAAGTGTTACAATTATGACAACTGTTTTTAAGTCCAAAGATATGACCTAGTAAGCAGTCATTGAATAAACATAACCTACTTTGAGGTGTGAAAGCACAGCGAAGTACTTTATTGCAGTTTATAATGGCATCTTAAAGGAAAATTTCAAAACCATGCACATTAAAGGCCTTGTTCCAACTCCTCAAAATTGTTCAGAGCAGTACTCAGAAGCCACATGTGAAAACTGCTTGAAACGTTCAATTCTGAAGGCTCATTTAGCTGTCTGTCTTCTCTTTGCAAAGTGATACACTGTTCCATGCCTCTGGCTGTTATTTGATATTTATAGGATCCCATCAGCATACGTGGAACTTTACTGAAGACATAAGGGAAGATCAGTGTCAGACACTCTAAACTATTTTCCATTCTATTTATACAAGCTTAATAAACAATAAAGGGCCAGACTGTTGTAAAGCCAGCAGAGTACTAATGCAGCATAGAAATTGCTCTGAAGTTTCAGATTTGGAAAATCATATTACTAGTGTTACCAAATACTGTAGCTCCTATGTAGGAAGCTTAGAAATAAAAACAACTTTAAAAATATTTTGCCACTCTTTGAGCCTAAGTGGGAAGTATTATAAGTGCCAGACATTCTACCTTATTATGCAGTGAGGCACTGATTAAGACTACCAGACTTTCAAGGAGTCTTCACCCTAAAACACTGGTTCTCAACATAGAAGTCATATATATTGACACAGTTTCTGAGTAAGCATTGAGTGGGTTTCATTTCAAGCTGGACTCACCAGCAGTTGTACATCATTATAGATATTATCATGGGAATGTAATATATTTTTAAACATCCTAGTAATGGAAAATCTGAAGAGAGAATTAGTCATCTTAGATGTTCCTTCTCCCTTTGGTAGTTTTTGGATTAGAAATGGTCATATACACAGTGAAATTTCAAAGTGAGATATAAAGAAAGACTTCATAGGTAATGTAAGCATTAACCAGGACTTAAAAATAGAATTCTATTAAGTACTTAAGATCAATAGGAAATTATTCTAAAATTATGAACAAAAATTGAGTTGTACAAAACATTTTTCAGGTAGCATGTTTGGTTTGCTTTTGGCAGATATCTTATGCCAGAATATAGTAAAAGATACCTTATGAAAATAATTTGACGCCAGATTTCTTAAAGAGAGTAATGGTCAATGGTTACCAGTTCTTTTCTGCAACTCATCTACTAATACTCACAGTTACCCTTTAGTATTAACCAATTCTAATATTATATTATTCAATTAGCATTGAATTATTTAATAACAAATATGAAGATAAAGCTTGATATAAAAATATTTAGGGAGTAAAATTTTCTCTTTTTATCACTCTATGCAGAGAAGCCATGTGCCTTGTTTTGCTCTCCTGTTGGAAAAGAACAGCCTGTTCTTCTATCAGAAAAAGTAATGGATGGAACTTCCTGTGGAAATCAGGGTTCAGATATATGTGCAAATGGCAGATGCCAGGTAAGACATTCCACAAGGAAGACTCTGTACTTTGAGGGAAGATTGTGGGACCATTCGAAAGCTTCATAGTGGAAAGCCTTGGACTAAGATTCAGGATATTATTTTAACTGTAATCTTCAGCAATTTTTATGTATTCTGAAAGTCTGCTTTCATTTGTGTAATGCAAGGATTAGACTAGGTAATCCAAGAAATCCACTATCAGCTCAAAGAATCTGGGATTTTGATTTTTATATGTGCCTATTACAGGCTAAAATTGGACCATTTTATGTCAAAAGATTTTTGACCAACATTTCAAGCACTCCACTTCTCCGTGTTCTGCGTCTAAGATTAAGTCAGGAGGCAGAAACCCCTTAAGAAGCACATTGAGTTAATTTTCAACAGAGTTGAAGCAATTATTTTTAATGTATGTTAAAAATTGTTTAAACACTTAAACATCTTATTTTCTTTTCCTTATAAAAATAATTTCTACTTGCATTTATGTGTTCTTCATCTACGTTCAGAATAATGCAATTTCTGTTACAATGAGTGTGGAGAGCATGGTGGAAAGACAAAAGCTGATTGCTCAGTCTCCTAGTCAAGTCTCTAACACTCTCAGTTTGGCTTCTCCTAAAAGATGAATACATGTGTTCTGAGTGTTTTCATGAGAAACATGTTTGTGAGGAGTGGAAAGAGTCAGGATTGGGCACAAGGAGAAACACGGACCCTGTGGGGAGCTCCTACACTGAGCTGGCTCTTCAGGGTTCCCACCAACTGGGGCCAGAAGACCATCTTTTTAATCCCTTGCATCTGCTTATGTTTGGAAATAAGCAGCCTCAGCCAGAGGATATGACCTGGGGAAGAGCAGTGTCCTTTATGGTGGGTGATTTCTCATAGACTTCGCAGAAATGGATGAAACATAAATCCTATGGCAATCAAAGAAGCAATGTGTGAAGCAGAAAATGAAGCTATAATAATGATCAGTAAACTATGTTTTGGGGCAAATCACTATATATATATGCACTAACCTTTAAAGTAATAGAAAAATTCTCATTAGCTTTGTGCTTTACATTTGTTCCAAGAATTGAAAGAAAGAATTTTGCCTCCAAAATGCATAACTGAATATACAGATACTAAAATGTGAAAAACATTACTATGAATGAGTGAATCAATCCATGATCCAATAAAAGTATGTGAACTTTTGGATAAGAAGTTGGGAAATCATGCATCTTAAATGCTTTTGGAGATTTAGAAGTCTGTATTTTGGAACTATGCTGTAAAATCTAAGGCTTTGAATCATGTTATTCCATTAGCATATGAAACATTTTTATGTTTACAAATAATTTCCTTTATTGCTTAACATTAGTAACCTGAAATATATTTTTCTTTTATCTGTAAAATAAAAATCATCATACATAATTGATTATACATATATATATATATAATTTCTGAACTGTGTGTTACAAATAAAGCTTTTATTTTTTATTTCATCATTAAATACAAATCTGTCAGATTATTCTATATCTTAAATGAATTTATTTTTCCAAAATTATTTTCTAACTGTATATGCCAAATATAATAGACTGAATTGATATGCTTTTTACTTACAGTTGTTGTCTAAGCCAGATCTTTTATAGTTCCTGGGTACACATTAAAATTATTATTTTTTTATCTATTTATTATTATTTTTCTTTTTTGGCACTGGGAATTAGACTCACAGACTGGTGCTTGCCAGGCAGGTGCTGCACCGCTGACTGCATCCTGACCCAATGCTATGTGAATCTGGAACAATCTGGTGACCATCCTTACATTAGACTTCTCTGAAATGCATCGTGACTTCTAAGGGCATTAAAATACTTCAAGATTTTAACTTTTTAAAAATTTTCATTCACTCTTTTGATATAACTGAAAACATACCTTTTGTTCTGACAGGAATCTGTAAGCTAGGAGTTTGACTAGAGTATTTTGTTTTATTGCAAAATCTACAATGCCAAAGCTGAATACAGATTTCTACACTTAGTGAAGGAAGGGCTTTTGTGCTAGTGGCCATATCTACCCTGTAAAGGTCAAGGAAGGCTTGAACCTGTGTTGTCACAATAGCTGACACCTCCAGCGTGCCACTGGTACTGGGATGGCATTGTCTTTTTAAAGTAGTTTATCCGTTTTTTCCTTTTTATTGAGTTTATTGGTACAATCTAGGTGTACAGTACAGTTACATTCATTACTGGGATCCTGTACCTTCACATGACAGGTCTTGGTTCTCATTTTTCCCCGTGTGCCTACCCTCCCTTCACACATTTATTCTTTTTTTTTTTTTTTTTTGGTATCAGGGATTGAACTCGGGTCCTTGCTCTTGCAAGGCAGAACACTGAACCACTGAGCTAAATCCCCAGCCCTTCACACATTTATTCTTAATAGAATTCCCAGGGTTTTTTGTTTTTTTTCCTGACTCCTGCTTAGCATCCTCTTCACATAAGTTCTGAGCATTTCTGGTGACGACGGCTTCTCTCATGTAGGGCAGACCCTCTCTCTCTCTCCCCCTGAGTAAGCTCTGACTGGCTGCTCACAGCTCTCTGTTCATGCAGTTTGGTGTTCTCTGACACTGATGGGCTCTTGGACCCGAGAAAGGAGCCTTGTAATGTGCAGTTTCAATGTGATTTTTACTACCTCAAGATATTCATTCCAGAGCTACTCTTTTTTTTTGGGGGGGTGAGACAGGGTCTCACTATGTAGTTGAAACTGACCTGGCACTCACTATGTAGCTCAGGCTGG